GGATCATGCCTACTGTCATGAAACACTTAGGGCACAACTGAGAAAACAGCAACGGATGTTAAATCTTCAGAACAATCGCTCATCCTCTGTTCTCAGGCCAAATGTAACAAAGAAGCATTTTACGGAAAAAACAGGCAGAGTTGATTTAAGAAGCAACTCTATTAAAGGAATAATCGCCATCCTGAAATTGTCTTAAAGCTTTCATTTCACTCATTTAAGTTTTTACTGCTTCTTATAGGGAAACAGATTTTATCATTACAGAGACATCCAGAAAGAAATGGTATAGAATATGTGCATGTGTATCTATTTTATTTTGCTTTCTTAAACCACACATGCTGCATTGTACAGTCAAGAAGAAAAAAATCTAAGAAAAAAATATTTTGGTTTATGTAATTCTGCAGTTCAGGAGACTGGAATAAAAGCTATGTCTACATTTACACCACATTTCACTAGGTAAGCTATCTGAAAACCGCCTAAAAACTGGGGAGTTTCAATGCCTATTTCATCAAGGTGAAAAACAACCCAAAAAACAACAACAAAACCCCCCCACACACAACCAACAACCCCCGAAACACAACAAGTTCAACTGGGGAAAATTACTATTAAAGCTTTTCATTCTTCTAATTTGCATTACCTAAGAAGTTTTTACTCACTTATACAATTACTGTTTAAAATGCAAAATATCTTGCAGAAATTGCACTCAAATGATCATTTCTTATAAGATGCAAGTCCTGGTAGGCCAGCACACTTCACTTACAGCTGCTGCATCCTCTATGCCCTCCCTTCACCCCCTCCACAAAAGCACCTATTTTGCAAATGATGTCCCCTTTGTGCACACACACACACAAAAAAGATGCTAAACTTATCACCTCTTCTTAAAAATCTCCCCTCCCACAGGAAAGTACTCTCCTTTCCATAAATGATAAGTATGTAAATACACGCTGTGGTAAGAAAGCACAACCACAGCAGGGCCAAGCCATCTCATGGGCCCAACAAGCTCGTGTGACAGCAGCAGAAGCTCAAGTTGCACCAGGGGCAGGCGAGGATTGTGTCCTGTAACCGGCTGCTCCGGGCACTTGTACTTGTGTCCACTCTGTGTCCTCCGACACGGTTAACAAGTAATATCAGTGCGTCTGCATATAGTTCTGCAGTCCACACCTGTGGCACAGGTACTCCCTAAAAAAGGCCAGCCTGAATAAGTGACATGGTATGTCCTACAAAACAGTTGGCTTTCTATAGCATTTTCTCTCAAAGCACCATCTTAGGTCTTTGTAGTTATAAGACAGTTACTAGGATAACACTGTTTAGCTGATAACCTTTCCCTATGATTGGTATCTCCTATAATTTTAGCTAACTATTATTTTAAAGTAGGACCCAACTTTCACAGATTGAGACTAAAAAAAAAAGGAGCAGATACAAAAAAATGAGATAATCATTTTTCACATTCAGGATGGTATCTGAGTAAATAAACTATTTTTACATCTGGTGTAAAAATTTTACACCTGGTGTAAAAATGTTAAGAAATGGACAGCAAAGGATGGATGCTACTGTGATTAAGACAGTGATTTTAAATTAACAAGCAAATTAAAATCCCTGCTTGTGCAACAGTCTCCTCTGAGACTGCACTGAAAGAATCCAAGTTCTTCATTCCTTAGGTGCCCATTTGTAAAATGCTATTTTACTGCAAGGGACTTACTTTTACTGCAGCAAAAAAAAAAAAAGAAAGAAAGAAAAGAAAAAGTTAAAATCCAGCAACTGTCCCACTTTAGAGCTAGAAATTATTTCAGAAGAGGGAACCTGCACTGCTCTGTCTATAGGCACCTCCTGGCACGGCACCTTCCACAGGCTTAGCAGTCACTGCCTGGCCGTGTGCATCTTAAATCAGGTGGTCCGGGTGCAATCAGACCCTTTATTTACCCTGATAAGCCCAAGGTCCCCAAGCCCTGGCCATATCTGAATCAACTCTGCTCAGGAAATTAACCTTTCCTATGCAAACTTATCCTCTGTGAGGGCAGGTGAGAGGCACTGCTTCATGGAAACGCAACTGAGATCTAACCAAGGCCTTGCACACCAGCATTAACAGCTTCCTATCTTCTCCAGCAACATCTTAACAAAAGTAAACCTATAATTATATGTACTTTTGTCATATCTGTATCACACTGGCAACATGATGAGAGACATTATTATTATTTCTACCCGATATTTTCTAACAGATTATAATAGGCATTTTCATTATTAGTCCCTACAACTCAGGATACAGTTCCTGGAAGAAAAGTGCAGCACTTTTTCAGTCAAGAAGAAAATATCAAAATCTTGGACACAAAATGTAAAATAACTACACAGATCTCTTCAGAAAAGGCTTCAAGACTGCAGAGGATTACAAACTAAACACAAGTCAATGTAGACACTTGCAAAAAAAAAAAAAAAGACAAGTGTGGCATATATTATATTTATCCCAGAAGTGTTTCCCTCTCTGAAGTGCGGAAGAAATAGATGGACTGTATAAACCAGTTTAGAGAGCCAACTTCCAACACAAATTGTTAGAGAAAGTCTGAAGAATCATAACAGACCAAAAGGGGTAAGATATTTTAAAAATAATTCTTTGAGGTTGAAAAAAAAGGTATGCTAGGGGCCTTTCAATGATTACATGACTCTGACAAATGTTCTAGTAATTAGCTACTCTTCTGCTATTACGCTTTTTAATAGTCTCATTACTAAAAGTTACATTTATATAAAGCAATGTTTACAGGGGAATGTCTGATACAATGTTTACAGGGGAATGTTTTAATGTGAAACTACAGAAAAATCGTATTTGATTTTTAGATAAAAGTCCAGCAACTACACAGAGTTGTTCTGAGCATTCATGCTCAGGAATATGACTGAAATACTGAATAACATCTCCACATGATTTAGAATATTGCTGAAGGTTAAAAAGATCTCAAACTTCTTGCAGTTGCTTTCGGATCAAAAAATGGGATTAAAATGCATGAAGAACAACCGTTTCCAAAAGAGATGCATTAATTAAAATCTTAAATCTAAGTTTGACAAGAAATCATTGCTTGGTTTTTACACAACCTTAAATATGAAAAGTAAAAATATTTTAACTTCATTTCCCTTAAGCACGGTGGAATCCTTATGTGTTTTTATGCACTTCAGATGCATCGCCTTCTACAAAACGTTTATAATCTGATATTAGGCCTCCATTAATTAGGAAGACTAGGATTTTCTAGCTTAAAAGGTTTCATTTATTCTACAAAACATTTATAATCTGATATTAGGGATTTTCTAGCTTAAAAGGTTTCATTTTGAAATCAGATTTTTAAGTTATCCTCAGGCTGTGAAATAATTATCCTCAAGTATTTTTTTAAGAAAAAAAAGAAAAAACCTAACATCGGTATGCAGACTATGAGTTAATATCCCTTTAAAGAGATTATGCAAAACAAAAAATAACCATTTTAAAGAGTATAACCTTTCATATCATCTTAAATAAAGGTAAAATTAAAATGGTAAAATGTTTCTACCCTATGATAGAATGCTAATGGTAAAATGTTTCTTTAAATGACAATTTTAAATGGCAAAAATGTTTCTACCATCAAACACAAAGGATCTCAGGAAAGAAAAGAAAACTCAATAAATACATACATCTCCCCAGGTCATGTTAATGAACATTTAGTTAATGAAAATCTATACAGTAAATTCCTCCGAGCAGGACATTTACCTTAGGAAACTGGCAGTGGCAATTACAAAAACACTCTCATGAACAGAATGCCTAAACTGGAGGAACATTCAATTTAGATACTGAAATAATTCTCAAGCTCAAAACTCCAGCGAGGCAAAATATAACCCCCAAACCAATTATAAAACAACAGAAAACATTCAGAAGCCTGCATGCATCTCGCCACCTCCTTGCTAACATTATTCTTAATTGCATGCTACTGTTCTGCAATGAAAGCAATTTTCACACCACAAAAAAAGCCCAACCACAGGCTGTCAATGCTGCTGAAATGGCTCTATGAATTGTTTTGTCCTTCCCGAGGCACTAGGAAATGTTGGTTAGCAATTCCTGATGGTGTTAACAATTCAGAGTATATGATACCCTACCAGCCCCTAACTGAAAAACAGAAAGGATTCTAGCAGACATTCACTGCTCCACAGTGCAGATCCAGCCCAAGAGTAGCCAGATCTGCCTACTGAAACGAGGTGGAGACCACACAGATTACCTCTCACTGTTTCTTATTTAAGCATGATAATTAACTCTATGTGAAAGAGAAATAAAACTGTTTAATTACATAAAAATGAAACAAGTAAGAAAGTTATCAATATTGCCACATGCATCTCCCTCTTGCCTCCACCATCCACAAGACAGGTTAACCATTCTTAAGTGGCATTACCAAGTGAATTTATTTTAGTAATGAAGCGTCAAGAGTTTGAAAATAAAACAAAACAAAAAAGAAGGGGAACAACCATAGACAAAATTGAGTAATCCCTATTTTGAGAGAAACAAACTGGCAAAGACTTTGGTAACCTGTCTAAAGAGAGGCTGCAAGACCAGTCTCTGCCTTGCTCATGAATAATGCTAATTCAGCTCCTTTATTGTCAAATTACAATCCATGGGAAGGTTGAAACACTTTCCAGATCTGCTTACCTATGCCTTTTTTATTTTACTAGAACAATCAGTGCCAAGACTGAGTAAGAGAATCTGTTTGGAAATTCTATATAAGAATTGGGGAGCTGAGAACAGATTTAAGAATAGGAAACACTGTCACTCTTGTAGTTGGAGGATCTGTCAGCCACCAGAGAGATTTCCTGAAAAGCTGAATTATAGGAATTGTCTATTGTTTCAGACAACACCCGGGCAGCTGTCAGAGGCAGCAGTTCTACACGGCCGCTGTTGGATGCTGCCCTCTGTCGCCATCAGTCTTCTGGTGCGAGCGCTCTCCAGGCTGCTTCACCAGCTGCGAGGTTGGCTCTATCACTGATTTAAAACCACCTCACAGCAAGATGTCCATATGGGATAAAGAAGAATTGTGACTGCTCTGCAGGCAGAGCACTTGCCAAAAACAAAACAAATAGAGAATTTTGCAATACAGTACTGCTAAGATAATGCCTTATTACAGAAGACTAAAAGGCAAGTCTTAAGCAGTGCAGAGCCAGAACTAAATCCTTCATCCTAATCCATGCAGTCCAGTTGTTACTGCTTCTATCTTGGTGCAGAACAGGATTTAAGGCCAAAAAGAAGTTAAATGATATAAGACAAATTACAAAATGACAAAATTCCTACCAGTATTTTAGCCAGTATGCCGTCATCGCTTGATTCCATGGTAACCACTGCTTTGTCCGTTTCAATTTCACACAACGCATCTCCAGCGTTCACTGTTTCACCTGCAAAACACAGCAGAACTTAACAATGCTTAGTCTAAACTTACTTTTGGATCTACTCGATTATAGAGCAGTGACATTTAACTCCATAATACCAACATTTTACATTCTTAATACATTCCCTGAGTAGGAGATATCCAAAAAAAATCATTAATTTACATCATCTTTCAATTTTCAGCTAGAAATACGATGATTCAGACATAGAGACTGCAGCAGCAGAACACTGACCGATAATTCACTACATTTCAAATGGCCACCTTTAAAGTAGATTTTTCTAAGAGGAAGTGCACACACAATGAAACTGAGTTACACAAGATGACAGATCAGTAGCATAAGCAGGAATATAACCCTCAACCTTCCATTTTCATTGCCAGCCATAAACCAGGGCAAGCTAACATTGTGATTTCTAAGATACCCATCACAGACAACAATTTCTGTTATTAAGTATTTCTGTGGCGCTCCAAAGACTGACACAGTTAAAAGTTCCCAAATTTGTATGTACACTATTGAATATATACAAATAAAATTTGAATCACCTCAAGAAACAACCCCACACCCTACAAGTTTGTTTCCCAAGTCTCTTACATAGCCAGAGAAACACCTTTAAAAATATATATATTTTTTTTTTGTGAAATAAAAATATTCATAAGTGTTAGAAGTTGCTTTTTCTATATTACACAAGTGTAAGCAGAATTGTCATAAGTATTCTTCTGCTCTCAAGGAATAGGTCTACCTGTTAGTACATGAGAAAAATGTTATGAGTCTGGATTCTCTCAACAGATGAATATGACTGGACAGTCAGCATTAAACTGCAACTGCATTAGAAAACCTTGATCCTGTTGAATGTTTTGGCCTCTAGCAAAATAGGATCCATTGTTCCTTACAGAGTACTCAGAAAGAAGTAAAATAAATACAAACCTAACTCATGAATGTATTTTTAATATAAAGGAAGATTTTAATAATCCAACAGCACTATAAATGTTGCCACAGTATTATCTGTTTAAGCGTTCGATTTAATTCTTCCTGCCACTGTCTGCAGTGTTCAAGCATATGAAGAAAATCTCTGTATTTACAGGTTTACATGTTGCAACCTATATTTAGCCAAGTGAAATAAATCATCTCCCTTCATTATTTCCTGGTTTAGGACTATCTGAATGGAAAGAAGAAAAAAAAACATGTAAATTACAATTCCTGTGACCTCTCCAGTGGCAAGCAGTAAAAACATTTGAACCTCAGTCAATTACGCAATGCCTGATTTTTGAAGTCAAAAGTGTTCCTATTCTGGAACTTGGCAAGGGAGGCCACAAACACTTTTATTTAATGTAATAATCGAATTGTCACACTGCAGTTTGCATTAATTAGAGCATAAACAATTTATAAAAGAAGCACCATATTCTAGGGTTTATATCAGTGATTTAATTCCACTAGATGATTAATTCAAGCGGCCTGGTACATCAGACTGCTAAACAAGTCTTTTGTACATGCTAAGGAGTCAAATTGTTGTGTAAATTCCGTAACCTCCTGAGCAAAGACAGGCAAGCTCAAAGCACCTTCACTCCGTATCTCAACCCCTGTCCTCAGCCTGCAGCCACTGTGTAAATGCTTTGCACCACTCTGTGCTAAACATAACACACAAGTGCAAGCTAACCAAAGGAAATACACTGTGGAAAATGGATGCATGAACGAAGTATCCACTAATTAATACTAACAGCATCAGGCTCTTTACAGACTTCTAAGGATTCCCTTGAGCATGGATGAAAAGAGCAAGTCTTCAGATAACTGTACAAGCCGCTTTTTCCCTATTTCACAGTACCTTCAACTAAAACCACACACACTCACTGCAATAGAAACAACAGCTTATACCTCCAGATGCCCATTTTCATGTTAATTACAAATCAGATTTCCAAACAGAGTAAATTAGGGGAAAAAAAAGAAGAGGTTTGTTGAGAACAGCTTTTGTTCTCGTGCTAACAAAACAAACAAAAACAATATTGGGCAAAAGGATTTGCCTAGATGGCATCTCTCAGAACTGTTACGTATAAAACACTAGGAGTCCTGTGCACACATGGGTGTGCATGTGCACACAGTGATTAATTCCCTACAGCCAGGCTGAGTGATTAGGATCTCCGTCAAAGCACAGTTCCCCTCTAGGGGTCAGATCCAATAGGCTACTGGCTATAGCATCCATCCAGTTACTAGCACACAAGTACCCAAATCATAAGACAAACTGTATTTCTTGATGTATTCTTCACAAACCAAATTAAAGCTGACTGAGCATAGAGACTGAATCCCCAGAGGTAACGTCTCAGAAGAAGGTCAAGTTTTACTGCATAAGGAAACAGCTAACTACTACTACTGCTGTTTTCTGCCCAGGAGAACAAGAGGGCTTTAGTCTCCCGGGCTGTCAGTCTATCATCTTTCATCAACACTAAATTCATACATAATAAATACAGTTTTTAGAAACACGGTTTTATTTTTAAGCATCCATCTTTATTACCCAGAGGAATTGATATGAAGCAGCATTAATGATGAGAGGAAAATAGTAAAGCTGTCAATTAAATGCAGCATTTTTCCTTTTGCTAGAGTGAAATCAGCTGTGTCTCCTCTGAAAGTATAAAATGAAAATATTTGATATCTCCACAAAAAGCAGAAAAAGTGATTAAAGCAGGATTCTACTGGCCCCTGCTGGTCATGCACAGCCATCAGCTTTCTTCTCTCAAGTACTCTCAGATGCTTATTTATTTTATCATATATGAAATTATCAAACATTTAGATTCACTAATGACACTAAGCATAGAAGATCAACACACTGAAGGAGGTTGTGGTTCTGCTCTGCAGTGAGAGCAGAAGCATTAGATTAGAAGCATTAGATGCTTTCTTCTCCAAAACTTATATCTCCATTTTCTTATATCATCATTATATTAATTTCAGTTTGATTGAGAAAATAAGGTTCATAGGAAGTAATTATGGCCACAGATATGTTAATTAAGACAGCATCCAACATTCAGTTTTAGTCTTGTTTATAATAGGAAATAGAGCACTGAAAATCCTAAGTAAGACCATTCACGAATAAGATTTGATGTTAAGTGCGTTATAGAGCAAAGTGGAATTAATTTCAACTCCTCTGATGCTGCCTTTTATATTTAAACTAAAACCTTTTAAATCACAAAATAAAAAACCCAAAATTTTCATATGTTTAATGGATAAATAAATAACGACTAACGGACAGAAAAAGGACTTTGAGTTGTCCCTTCCTCTCTGAATAATCTTGGACTTGCTACTTTACTAACTGAAGCTTCAAGATTTGGTAAAATCAGAGCAATTATGTTTTACAGATTGACACGTTGTATTTTTCCAAGTAAGTTCTTCAGAAATTCTTAACAAAAGTTTACAAGCAAAATCTCATGACCACTAGGGGAGGACCTCTAAAGTATAAAGTCACTGCCTTTCCATCACCCGTAAAATATGAGCAAAGTAGAGGTCAGTTTCTTTTCAGTTGTCAGTGCAGACAGCTGAAGATAACTGAGGTTCCAAAATATCCTATCATGAAAATTAACTGGCTCACAAACGTTTTTTTTCTGGAAGCAGGCTCTCCTATGTGGAAATTGGGCTATGAAACAAATCTGTGGTTTCCTGTCAGTTTTAAGAGTAGACTATAATTTACATATTTAGAAGAAAGCAATAACTTTCTCGCTTTGCAGCTGTTAAATAACTATAAAAATACTATGTCTTTCTAATACATTGGAATAACAAAACAGAGAGCCTCCCCAAAATCAAAGGCTCTCAAACAAAATTACTGAGCTCCAGTAACACACTAGATGTGACAGGGAGAGAGACAGATGAACTAAACAGAGCAAGCAGATGTCTTCACAGTGTCAACCCTGCGGAACAGTCTAATGGAGAACATTCCACTAGAAAAAGAGAACAGTCGTGTATCAAACTTTTGCTTCAAAATACTAAGGTGCAACCTTACTCTCACAGACTAGACTGGAAAACCTAACAAAATACAGCAACTGTGGCAGTAGAAAATTCTCTCTCACCTTCCTTTTTTAACCATTTCACAATGTTTCCCTCTTCCATTGTCGGAGAAAGAGCAGGCATGAGAACTTTAATAGGTGGTGTACCTGCAAAACAAGCACATGATATCTAAATTAGATACTTTGAAAGTGTATGTTTTTCCTCTGTTAAATGCTTAACTCAAATGAGACTGAAGCAGTGCACGAATCTGAAAGAACTGAACACTCACCAAAAAGATGCTCCTTTTCTAAAGGTTATAAACAAGCACTGCAAATGAAAGTCAGAAGAGCACAGCGCACAAAGTGTAAATCTTATCTGTTATGCATGCAAAAGAGGTTAAATATAATATGAACTCATAAATAATGTATAACTACTAGGCAAATTGAACTCTGTCTTAAAATACAATGTAAATACTTTGGGGCTTCAGATCCTCACGTTGCCTCAACTTTGATTCAATTACTTTTTAATTAAAAGCTTTCCCTAGGACCCAGACTTAATATATTATTAAAAATAATACAACCTAACAGTTCAAGTTACTTTCAGCTCAATCTGATGTACTGACCAAGGCGGTGGTGGACCGAAGCAAAGTAAGGCTAGAGAACCTTTCTCCAACAAATACATAAACAGAAAGATATGTAAACACATAAACTAAAAGCTGTTGGGAGTTCAAGCTTCAAGCACGCTGCAGCTGGTATGGAGTATGAAAACGCAGCCAAAAAACCCACAAATATGCATTAGAAGAGATGAGCAGCTACTAATGCTGTGGTGCTGTCCCCCTCCACAGAAATGCCATAAATTTCAAATACTGAGCCAACTAAACATCCTGTGCAACAGAGACGTAAGTGCTAAGACAAACCACATTTCCATTTTCTAAGGCTTTCACAAGTAGCCCTACATATGCTTAGTTCTGCCTCCCTCATACTACCTTTAAGCAAAACCTTGGGCAAAATGCTGTGCCAGAGCCTCTCAAGCACTCCAAGACACGTACATGAAAGAGACAAGGCTCGAGGCCAGTCAGCAGCCAAGGGCGCTCGCAGCGCACACACTAGACTCGTCACATCCAAATAGGCCCAAAGGGGAGAACGAGCGCACGGAGGCAGCTCAGCCCTCAGGAGGGGCCCGTGCGGCTGCAGCCGCAGGGCACTGGGCAAAGGGCCCTGGTCAGCTCCCCGCCGCTGCACGGCCACACGCCAGGAGCACGGCAAACGCCACGCACAAGGCTCCTGACCCTTCCCTCGAACTTTTCTTCCCAGATACGCAGTACACCAGCAGTACGGATGTGCACATATGAGCGAACGACCATCCTCTGTTCTGTCTCAAAGTAGTTATCCACCCCCAGGCTTCATGGGCACATCCACGTGGCAACAGAGAGAGGGAAAAATAGAGAGCATATATAGGCAGTTGCTAGAATCCTTTCTGACTTTTAACCAGAAGTTAGATACTGATATCTTGACTGTGATCACTGCAGTGTTAAGAACATGACAAGGCAAAGTATGCAATCCCCTTTGCCCAAAGTTCAAAAACCAAAGAAAGAAATAGCAATTCAGAGGCCCGAATTCCACAGTCAGCAATACTCCTCAGAAGCCACTGCATCTTCCTCCTCATCTTTTCCCTAGGCTGTGGAATTTTCCCCAGATGATAAAATGTATTTCAGTGACTAGATGTTAAATTTCTGTTAAAAAGATTGAAAGATTTCTCATCACAGATGTCTTTTTCATGGAGATGTAACCATAGACAGGGACGGACTCATCTTCAATCTGTTCTTGACAGAAGTTCTGTATGAAGTTTGTATGTGAAGCTTTGTATTTAAGCAATACAAAACCATAGGCTCTCCTGCTATGCAAAACTCTCTGCTAGAGGCATCCAGTCAGCCCATCGTGGCATCCACAGAGCACGTGCCTCTGCTCAGCAGGCCCGTGCGTGGAGGGGAGGCTGCAGCACCGCACGCGAGCCGGCTGGACGCTGCGTGGACGGGATTCCCGGGAGTAGCCGGGATTCCCGGGAGCCCGGCGCTGCGCTCCGCCTCGCTGCCTCCGCTGTCACTGGAGCCGCTCCGCAGAGCCTTCTGACACACAGCCTGTAACGTGAGGGGGATCGCCCTTCTGAAACGCTAGGCACTAACGAGGCCACCAACTCAACCCCTTAGGCACCATGTTGTAAGGCTAAATTTCTAGCAAGATCCAAATTTGTACAGAATTAGAGCATAGAACTCGATACAAAAGAAAAAGAAGAAGAAAAGAAGTCCATGACAAGGATCAATTCTGCTACACATTACCTTCTCTCTACATCCAGTCAGCAGTTATTGCTTAAAGCAAGCAATAATGGCCTTAAAACTCTTAGTGTTATCCCCCCATGAATTCTCATTATCCAGAAGAAGTAAACCAGAAAGTGCTGGAGCTGAAAACTACATGGTACCCAGAGTGAGAACATTTCTGATCCTTACTTCCATATTACACTAACCTAAGACCTAAGAACTGCCATAGTTAAGATCTTGGAAAAAAACAAAAATAGAAAAGAAATGGAATTTCAATTAATACACAGTGATTTAAAGGAATTTTTTAAAGTGCACCTTTGGTCTCTAATTCATTAATGCTAATATATCCCATAGATCTTAATTGACTCTATTTTATGAAAGAATAAATTATAGTACACATGAAAGAATAAAGAAGCATTTAGCAATAAATATTTAAGGGATGGGATAATGTTAAAGAAACTGTATAATTTTCCCATTCTTTCTGGATGTATTCCAGATTTATTTTATTGCAAACTGGGAACATTACAGTAAAGATCCAATAACCTCAGCAGCCACTAACAATCTTGCTATTTCAAAACAGTCTGAGATCAGAAAGCAAGTTATTTATCTCTTAAAGTCTCCAGAGGATCAACACAAGCAGGGTCATACTCCCAAAACATAAAAAGTGTGGAAAGGAATCCAGTGTACATAGCGCTCATGTTCCTGCAGGACTTTTCATGAAGAAAGAGACATGCATTTGTTTCTGTCTTCTATTCCCAAGTTAATACCAGATCATTCATAGAAATGATCTTTCTGTGACACATGAACACTTGCCAGTTTCCATGCTCAGAAATGTGTCCAACTTTCCTAGTAACACTGGTAACTTTCACCACAATTGCCTCCAAGAATTTAAAAAAGTTTCTTTCTGTGACCTCCCAGCTTGAACTGAAACATAAATAAATGAACTACACTATGAATGAGTACTAATCTGTGAATATATATCTGCATTTATCAAATCACATTTATCTATGATCATTTTGAAATACTGCAAACTAAAGTATGCGTATTATTACTAGACTAATAACTAGAAAAGAATGCATTACACGCCAGCTGAAAACTTGTGTGATATAAAGAAATGCTTTGCTTCACTTGTTTAACTTGACGAGTACACTTTGACAAGGCAAATGTGATTTTTGAAGGCATGTTCTCACAAACATCTAGGACTAACTAAAAACAGTGAGCACCCCTCACTGAAAAAAAATGGAAGTGTCACAAAGTATCACACTTTTCTAATGAAGAAAGAATATTTAATCACAGTGGCTAACACATTTCACTTCCTAAAGAGTGCCCCACTACACTCTTTGGCGCAGTCTTCAGACGAGCTGAAGGCTGCTCAGATCTTTCTTCGGACAACAGGACATAAACTGTTTTATAAACACAATATAAGACAGATAGATTAACAGTATCACTCAGTTTTACCCCACTAGTGTGGAGGTCATAGCAGGACTCAGTGACTTGCCCTGCATCACCAATCCAAGTGAAGGGAAAGATCACCCACCTTCTCATCTCCAGCCCCAAGCTCCAGGCAATACATGTAGCACCATAACTAGCTAGCTTTCCCTTCTGGGGCTATCAAAACACTTCAGGGTAATTACATTCTCTTGAATTTGCATCTACTGTTCACCAAAGCTGCTCACCAGCTGCTGATAGTCTACGCTTTCTCAGAAAAATAAAGCAGCATTTAAAATAAATCATGAAAATAGGCCGATTTGCTATGTCTCTGTTTTCAGCAGAGGCTGTGGGCCAAATCACACTTCCAACATTTCTGTTTGTTTCTTAAATAGTGGCTTTGCTTAAAGAAATATCACACCTTCTCTGTTCCACATGAGTACATTCCTTTTAATCTGTGCATAAATGAACAAAACCTTTATGGCCTAATCCGCCTAATTTGCCGTTTTTATTCATTAATGGATTCATAATTTTCCAAAGATGTTTTATGATCTCTGTCTTTAGATTCATTAACTCTTTGCTAACATCATCATCAGTCAGCAAAGCAAGTAATGTCTCAGGTGGCGGAGCCAGAGAGAATATTTTCTTTCTCTAATATGACATTGTCATTTCCTTGCATTTTGCCTGTTGTGCTTAGGTGGGCAAAAAGGTCATCGCTGAGATTAGCCATGGATTACGCCATCAGCAGCACTTTATTTGGAAACTTGTTCACCCTACGCCCATGCCTCTGCAGCGTGCCAGCTTGCACTTCCACTCGAACCACGTGCACACAGGCACCTTCCTGCCCGATACTCCTGTTGCACAACCAGGAGTTCGATTCTGATACACTCTTCCAACATGCACAACTTAAGAAGAGTTTTGACTATGAGAAAAAAAAAATATCCCACCCCTCCCAAAGAGGGGCACATAAACAAACAGAGAAGCAAAAATAAACAAATACTTTTTTTCCACATTAGCTTAGCACTTCCCCATAGCTTTGGGTACTGGCATATCCTTTTTGAGGCTGTTTAATTGAAAAGGCAGCAGCAACGCAGGCTTCAGTCTTGCGCATATTCTGCTGTATAACAAGCTAACTCTTCTTTCTTGTAATCATTTGTTCACATAAAATTTCCTTGCTACCTGGGCTAGACAAGAATTCCATATTTTACATTGCCACCTTTTCAACGTTATTTCTCCCAGCGATTTGACGTGGTTTCTGTTTATTTTTATTTTGCTTGCATCATTTCAGAATTCCTGATGCGTTATCATTCCTCTCATACTGACCTTTGCCTGTATTTTACTTTCTTCACCTATTACATGAAGACTTCTGGGTTTTTTTTTTTGTTTTTCCACAACATGTAGTACCACATCACTTAGAGCAACGCACATAGTATTTGGGTTCTTATCTAGACTACAGTCGATTTTTTTAAAAAAGCCTAAATGCTAGTTTTTAGTCCTATTGCTCTGGAGGCCGTAAGGAAGGAGCCACCTGGGCTCCTGAGAGCGCTAGGAAACACGTTACCCAAGGCAGCAGCCGGGCTCGCGCACTCTGCAGAAACCCACAGGGCTGAGGGCAGCCGCGGGCCGTGAATC